ACGACTGGGTCATCGAACCTCCTCCCGATGAGCCTCTTGGCATCAAAGATGGTATTCTGGGGGTTCAGTGCCACCTGGTTCTTGGCAGCATCTCCAATGAGCCTCTCAGTGTCATTGAAAGCCACGTAGCTGGGGGTGGTGCGGTTGCCCTGGTCATTGGCGATGATCTCCACCTTGCTATGCTGGAAGACCCCGACACAGGAGTAGGTGGTGCCAAGGTCAATACCAATGGCTGTTCCTTGAGCTGCAGGAGACATGTTGATGGGAGTGTGTACAACTGAGTCTTCTCCTCTGTTGTGGATTGTCTCCTGTCGTAGCGATGGAGCTGGCACGCGGTGTCCAATCGAACCTGACGATTGTGATTGTGACGTTCCGGCTGAGCTGCGGCCCGTTATGTAGAGTGTGTGGGCGGCAGCGAGCTGTTGATTGACGGCGGCGCGGACCAATGAGGGATCGCGGCGGTGATGTCACGTTCGGAATGTTGTGGAAGGTTCTGAAGCGGCGGCCAATGAGAGCGCGGCGGGTCCGCGAGACGCCGAGAGCCCGAGAGTGTTCTGGAAGGAGCGAGTCCGGGGAAGAAGGTTCTGGAATGAGGCGGCAATTTCCAGCGGGATCTCCCGAGGATCCACCCCCCGGGGGAAAGGATGGGAGTGTGGATGGAGTGGGATGTACTGGAGATCAGGAATTCCATGTTTAGCGCTATCCTGGTAGTTGCATCCCGTATAACAGATTAGAATATTTTCCCAAGAACGGACAATGAACTAACTGGCTGAGAGTTGCCTGTTTTTATTTCCTTCGCTTCTCAAATAATTGTGTTACATTGTCAGTTTTCCCATATGTTGCAATTTTACAGAATGTAAGGATTCCTGGAAGAATACTGCCAGTGCGTCAACCATCTTCACAGAATCCCTGCAGTGTGGAAACAGGGCCTTCGGCCCAACAAGTCCACACCAACCCTCAGAGCATCCCACCCAGACCCCTATAACCCACCTAATCTATACTTCCCTGAACACTATTGCACAATTTAGCATGGCCAATCCACCCTAACCTGCACATCTTTGGACTATGGGAGGAAACTGGAGCACCCAGAGGAAACCTATGCAGACACGGGGAGAATGTGCAAAGTCCATACAGACAGTCGCCCAGAGGTGGCATCGAACCCAGGGCCCTGCCGCTGTGAGGCAGCAGTGCTAACCACTGAGCCACCGTGCCGCCATAAACTTCATTGATGGGGCACCCAGATTTGTGTAGCTACTTCCAATAATATCTAGGATGCATCCCATCAGGCCCAGGGGACTGATTGGTCTCTCTCGCACCCCCCCCCCCCCGCCCCATTAGTTTCTCCTGTACTCTTAGCCCAGAATTGTCATTGAGTTTATTCCCTCTCCTCCTTTCGCCCCTTGAATATTTAATAATTTTTGGAATACTATTTGTGTCTTCTCCTCTGAAGACTGATGCAAAATATTTATTCAACTCCTTCTCCATTTCCTGATTCTGAGTTACAATTTCTCCAGCCCCGTTCTCTAAGGAATCAGAAACAGAAAGTGTTGGAGAAACTCAGCAGAGTTCTTGTCCTAAATCCAGTGTCCCTTCCTTAGAACCGAAAGTAGCTGGGAAGTGGTGGTATTTGTTCAAATGATGGGGGGTTGGGTTTGTGGCTCATTGAATGGAGGAGGACTGAGTCAAATTGATGGAAGTGCCCAGAGAGAGAGAAACAAAGGAGAAACAGACAAAGGGATTCCTGATGCTAAGCTGAGAGGGAGTTAAATGCTGAATGCGTGCTAACGGAAAGTGTGAATCATTGAAAATGTTATGCCTTTGCTTGGAACAACTATTATGAACTAGACCAAACCCCCTCAAAATATATTACAAAGGTAGTCTTGACCCTAATTTTTTTCTTATTTTAAAGGTAAGTGTAAGGCGTTGTATCACGGATGCAACTTGATTGGTCGAACTACCAGGCTTGGAAAGAGCACACTTTATTCATACCCTATAATTAAAATACAGGCAACATAAAAATGGAAGAATTGCCTTAACTGTAACTATTAAAATGCTTAACAATGTCCAATATGTTACAAATTAACTGTTCCAATATAGTAACATTCCATAAACACACCCTTAGCAAAGGTAAATTCAGTAAAATAGATTGTCTCACATGCAACTGTAGCAGCTGGAAGAGAACCGCATCTTTAGGCTGTAACAGAGAGAGGAGTAACAGCTTCCACATTCAGCTTCAAGACCCCAGCAACTGCTAACAGCTAAAACTAAACATCTTGTTTCTGTTGCAGCTTAACCCCAACCCCTTCAGGCTGCTTCTATTGTTCAAACTTCAAAAAAAAAACCCAAGACCTCAGAAGCTGTTTACTACATTGGCTTGAGCAGGCTGCCCATAACCTCTGCCTTAACCTTTATGCAAAAAAAAACAGGACAAAACACACTTCTTAAAGCCATTGTATCATCACAACAACCAATAGAGAACAGGACCTAAGGCTGTGGGGGTGAGGAACAAATGTAGAGGAAGGTGCTCACACTCTGAAATTGTTCAGCTCAATGCTGAGCCCTGAGGGTTGTAAGGTACTGAGGAAGAAGACAAAGTGTTCGTCCTCCAGCTTGTAATGAGTTTCACTGGAGCACAACAGGAGGTCCAAGACAGAAATGTTGGCATGGAAACACGAGGGGGTGGGTGTTGATGTGGCAGGTAATTAGAAACGCAAGGTCATTTTTACTGACAGAGCAGAGGTGTTCAGCACATGGTTATCCCCAGTTTGCATTTCGTCTCCCAAATGTAACGGAGACTGCATTGTGAGCACAATAGGCTAGATTCAGTGAAGTGGAAGTGTATCACTGCTTCATCTGGAAGGTGTGTCTGGGACCTTGGATAGTGAGTAGGGAGGAGTTCAATGGGCAGGTGTTGCACCTAAGGTTCTTGAGTAGATTTGTAGCTTGGGTTGTGGATGCTGTGGTTGGTTTGCTGGCTGAGCTGGTTCGTTAGTTTGCAGACGTTTCATTACCCTACTGGGTAACATCATCAGTGCAGCTTCTGACGAAGCGCTGTTGTGTTTTCCCACCTGATATTTAAACTCTGGGTTCCATTGGATTTGATTACCTCATTTCCGGTTTTCCTTCGCAGTGGTGTATATATAGGGTCTAATTGTACGTGTTTATTGACAGCCTTCTTGGCGGAGCACCAAGCCTCTAGAAATTCCCGTGCTTGTCTCTGTTTGGCCTGTCCTAGAATCTGATTATGTCCCAATCAAACTGGCAGCTCTCCTTGTCCGTGTGAATGGAGACGAGTGAGTACTGGTGATTTTTTTTGTTGCTAGTCGGTGTTGATGTATTCAAAGAACAAAGAACAAAGAAAATTACAGCACAGGAACGGGCCCTTCGGCCCTCCAAGCCTGCGCTGATCCAGATCCTCTATCTAAACCTGTCACCTATCTTCCAAGGATCTGTATCCCTCTGCTCCCTGCCCATTTATTTATCTGTCTAGATACATCTTAAATGATGGTATAGTGCCCGTCTCCACCATCTCAGCTGGCAATGCGTTCCAGGCACCCACCAACCTCTGCGTAAACAACTTTCCACGCGTATCTCCCTTAAACTTTTCCCCTCTCACCTTGAAATCGTGACCCCTAGTAATTGAGGCCCCCACTCTGGGAAAAAGCTTCTTGCTATCCATCCTGTCTATACTTCTCATGATTTTGTACACCACAATCAGGTCCCCCCTCAACTTCTGAATTTCTAATGTAAATAATCCTAATCTACTCAACCTCACTTCATAACTAGCTCCCTCCATACCAGGCAACATCCTGGTGAACCTCCTCTGCACCGTCTCCAAAGCATCCACATCCTTTTGGTAATGTGGCGACCAGAACTGTACGCAGTATTCCAAATGTGGTCGAACCAAAGTCCTATACAACTGTAACATGACCTGCCAACTCTTGTACTCAGTACCCCGTCCGATGAATGAAAGCATGCCATATGCCTTCTTGACCACTCTATCGACTGCGTTGCCACCTTCAGGGTACAGTGGACCCGAACACCCAGATCTCTCTGTGCATCAATTTTCCCCAGGGCTTTTCCATTTACCGTATAGTTCACTCTTGAATTGGATCTTCCAAAATGCATCACCTCACATTTGCCTGGATTGAACTCCATCTACCATTTCTCCGTCCAACTCTCCAATCTATCTATGTTCTGCTGCATTCTCTGACAGTCTCCTTCGCTATCTGCTACTCCACCAATCTTAGTGTCATCTGCAAACTTGCTAATCAGACCATCTGTACCTTCCTCCAGATCATTTATGTATATCACAAACAACAGTGATCCCAACATGGATCCCTGTGGAACACCACTGGTCACAGTTCTCCATTTTGAAAAACTCCCTTCCACTACAACTCCCTGTCTCCTGTTGCCCAGCCAGTTCTCTAGCCATCTAGCTAGTACACCCTGGACCCCATGCGACTTCACTTTCTCCATCAGCCTACCATGGGGAATCTTATCAAATGCCTTACTGAAGTCCATGTATATGACATCTACAGCCCTTCCCTCATCTATCAACTTTGTCACTACCTCAAAGAATTCTATCAAGTTGATAAGACATGATCTTTCCTGCACAAAACCATGCTGCCTATCACTAATAAGCCCATTTTCTTCCAGATGTAAATAGATCCTATCCCTCAGTATCTTCTCCAGCAGCTTCGCCACCACTGACATCAGGCTCACCGGTCTATAATTACCTGGATTATCCTTGCTACCCTTCTTAAACAAGGGGACAACATCAGCAATTCTCCAGTCCTCCAGGACCTCACCCGTGCTCAAGGATGCTGCAAAGATATCTATTTCCTGTCTATTCTTTTGGCCAGTTTCCTTCCTGTCTGTCCAATGTAATGTT